GAGCGGTTATTTTCGGCTCCCTTTGTGGCATTAAGATTTGAAATGTGAGAAAATGAACCGAAAAGTAGTGAGAGTTGAATTGCTGCTGCGCACCTGTGGGAAGTGACCACCAGCGAGCAAAGGGAAACGCATTTAAACACTTGAAGGACGAACCAGTAGTTAGGGCAAACGCTGTTTTGGGGAGGAATACTTCCTTTTCTGAGTTAAGAAATGAAAGTTGTGACACAACTGTTGAACAGAAATACTTGAAGAGGGTGATGAAGGGGCAGATCTTAAGACAAAAATTAGGAACAAACTGGAGAACCCCAAGACATCGCTGCTGTGTCAAAGTCCTGAGGGATCAGATAAATCCAGTATGGGCAGAGAAGAAAGAGGAGAGAGATGGGGCAGCGACAAAACGTGGAGCTGTAAGGTAAATTGCATGTTTGAGAGGCCTTCTCCCTATCAATAAATGATCACGGTAATGGGATCTGCCTTTCTACAACCCTTTGCTCCTGAGGAGGCACAGCATCCTCACCGCAGGCTCCGTATCTTGTGTGTGGTTTCAGGTTCTGCACCGGCAGGAGCGGCTGGAGAGGGCACTCCATGTTCGTGCAGCCGTTGCCTGCACGGCTGGTTGTGCGCAGGAGGAAGGAGATGTTGGTTGTAAACCCTCATCACTTCTCCTTGCAAGGGCAGTTAGTCATCCACTTCTGCACTAAGCAGAATATCCAGGGAATGTTATTTCCCCCCTTTCTGTCTACTTATTAATGGTCCTCTCAATACTACCATCTCTCAGCTACGCTCAGGCAAGGTGACGTGAACAAGGAGGCTTCATATCTTGGCCGGATTAATTTATAGCCCTGATGGATGCAGCGTGAGCTGCTCCGGCTGCCTTTGCACTGAAGCGGATGAGTGCGCACGCAGTCCTTCTGCAGATGATGCTGTGCCTGCACGTGAGGACAGTAGAGTCGTATAGCATTTCAGCTCTGCCCCAGCTCTTTGTTGATACCCCAAGGATTTCAGATAAATACTCCCTGAAGAATTTGCCTGTATTGTTCAGACTAAAGTGTTAGTTTTGAATATAATTTCAGGATATGTTTTGAGTAACCACCTGGAGAGCGCAGGAGATGCAGGTAAAGCTTGCTATGGTAAAGCTTTTCTATCGCTAGCCAAAGCTACAGGCATTGCCAAGCAATGGGGTGCACCTTTGGTTTTCATGGAGGAGGAATGATCTCTAAGGGGATCTAACAGAATTTTTTCTAGGAATATCACCATGACTTTAGAAAATTTTACGGTGGTAATGGGGAATAAATTAAAACTGTTAGCGGATCTAACAAATCAAGCTGCTGCGAGCACCGAATCAGTCCTTTCCCTTCCTTCTCCTGCCGCCGTTGTGCGCAGTCTCTAAGGCTGCAGACACTTTAATTGCCTCTTTCTGCTGAAATAATTGAAAGTTCAGCTTGCTTATGCAGTGGGAAACCCCAGCATTTTGGATGAGGAAGCATGGAAAGCAGAGGAGGGATCTTCTCCAAGGCCTGGCTGGCTGGATGCTGCTAGCTGTGCACCCCGCTTGCTGCCTGCTCTGGTGTAAAACCATCGAGAAGCGCTTTGCATCAGCTGCAATTTATATGTATGTTTAGAAACCCATGATGGCTCCCTCCGCACAGCATCTAGAGTAAGCCACTGTCATCTTATAACTTTGCCTTTTTTCAGCTCACGTGAATTCAAGCGCTTGAAGGCAGCACAGGAAGCCCTCGTGGTAGGCTGTGTGCAGGGGGAAGGCAGCGCAGCCTGGCTGGAAATGCAAGCAAAAAACTCGGCAGTTGGAAGACGAGCAGCGATCCTCCTCTGCTGCATCCATCAAATATTGCTTTAGAAACCCCTTTTTTTTGTAGAGTCGGTGACAAGCTGCCTCTTCGCAGAGCTGCGACTGTTCCCGACGCTGCTGTAGGTTTACGGCCTCTTCACCACGTGTCGCCTCTGCCCCGTGCCTGGCGGTTTTCGTCACTCTGCTAATGAAACCGAAATCTTGTTTACAGACCGTTTTGCAAACAGGGAACCAGCATTAATTTCTCTTGCTGGGGGTGGAGGGGGGAAGCCTGACTTCAGACATCCATTTCAAACCTCGTCTGTGTTCCGCTTGCACGCTGATCTGTCCGGCGGAGCCTGATTAGCGGCGGATGATGGCAGGGAGTGTAATTTAGAGGGCATTCATCTCGGTGATGAGCAGGCTGGCAATGGTTACATGCAGTTATGCCGTCTCCTTGAACGGTGCTGCAATCCTCACTAGCCTGTGTTCCCTTCTGCTGAAGTACAGGAGGGACCGTATCTCGTTCTTTCCAGCTCAGGACATCCCCAGGGAGACTCCCGCACCCGTTCTCACGTTGCCGAAGGGCAGCACGCCAGCTCCGCACCGTCCGGGAAGGCACTACGAGGAGAGCTGTAGCTGAGAAAAAGTCCCTGGTTGAGGGCACCACAGGACCTGTTGCATGAAATTGCATTTGCTGGTGGTGTGCTCGATTTTTCTAGGAATGTCACCAGGACTTTGGAAAATATTCGGGTGATAATGGAGAATAAATTGGAATTGGGGATTTTGGGCAAGCTCTAGAAGAGTGGTAGGATTTCAGTATCAAATTATTTCAGCATATGGGGAAAAGAAAGATTTGCAGCGCAGCAAAGAGCGCAGGCTTGCGGTGGGAGGAACAGCCTCGGCTTGATGCGAGTATTTTTGCCAAAGATCTCTTTAGGATTTCAGAACCTGCTTATAACCCTCCCGGATAAAATTCTAGCAAGAATGAGGGGAATGTAGGCCTACGCACATGCGCTAGAAGTGTGAAGAGATGAAAGGAATGAGAAGGGGCTTAAGAGTGCAAGAAGGTACTTCCCGCAGCTTTAAATAACGTGGACTGGAGGGTGTCTAAATATTACCTAGCACTAAGCTCACACCAGAAGGTTACAGCAGGCTGCACGTGCTCACGTGAGCCAAGCTCACGGTCTTTATTGAACAAGAAGTGTCTGTGCAAATATCGCAAGGTTTACTATGGGCTTAAAAATAAAAATAAAATCACAAACAGGGAGTTAAAACTGAACCAAATATTGGTTTTAGGAATTATTTTTTTTTTTCCTTTCGAAAAAGACAGGACCATTTTTCTTGCCCTTTGATCAGGAGCTGAACCTGAACAACTCCAGTCGCTGATGAGCCTGAACCAGAACAGAGCTATTTCCTGGCTCACCTTCCTGTTTGCATGTAATCTAATTTTTAACCCGGGTCGCAGAATAGAGTTTTAAAGTTCGTATAGTCAAGATGCACGTGATAAGTAAGCTGTTGACTAGGGAAACCTTTCTGGTCCTCTCTGAGGTTAGGAATAAGTTTAGCTGGTAAATAATTTTGGTATCCTGAGGTTGGCTATTAGATGTCTGAACTCTCCAGCGAAGCTTTTAATAGAGCGAGTGATTAATCAAAGTAATTTCTGATCTGAAAGTGATGTTGGTCGTGTTCTGGTTATAACCAATTTTTCCATGCAATTCTCCAAAGCGAGATGTGCACCTATTTCAGGGTTGAAAAAAGACTTTGAACAGACTGACCTAGAGGGCTTAATCTCTTTGAATTGGGCGAAAAGGACCAGTAACCTTTGCGGTGCGATGAAAGGACGTTTCTTGAAAATAATTTCTCTGGTCTCTGAGCTGTTCCTGTTGAGAGGCAGAGATGAATGTTGGCACAACAGCCCCCGTGCATGTGTGGCAACGTGAATCGTAGCCAGGTATTATAAATGCTGTGTATTTATTCCCAGGTAACTCGGGTAATATTCCTCCTGGAACCGGCCACGCTCAAGGAAATAAAGGCTTAATCTGCTGTCTGCTAGAGCTGCCACATTTTGCTTTTCATTTGGAGGATGGCAGGGGAATTCAATCAGAAAAGCAACTGCTTCCAAGGAAGCCGTTCATTCGTTGCGTTTGCTGTAACAATATACTCTGCAAAATAAGGGCAGATGTGTTTGTCACGGAGCATACTTTGTTCGGTAGTTGAATGAAATTTGTTAATAAGTGTGAGAACCAAACAAACCCCTTTCCAGCTCATTATTGTTAACGTTCAATATCTGTGCCTGTCTGGGTAATAAATATAATTGGTAACTTGACTAATAAGCTGTTCGTGCCAGTGTCTGGATGATGCAAAATGAGCCTCTTTACAATACTGAACACCCTGTTAAAGAGAAATTTGATTTATGTTACTGCACGATGTTTCTGGAGCTGAAATTAGACCCTTCGTTGTGCTGATCGCTGTTTGATTTCTGCCAGCTTGTTTTGCAACCTGTTAAAATGTCCGAAATGATTATTTAGGAGAAAGAAAAGGGACATGTGCAAAGCCTGCTGTCGTGTGCTCCCTGGACTTTTGCAGGTGATCTGCTGCATCGCGAGCCGAGCGTGGGCTTGCTCGCTTCCTAAACTTTTATTAGCTCTTCTGTCTGCCTATAGTTCCCTTCAACCAACGCAATAATATCCATCCTTTCTTCTGGATCTAGGAGCACGGGATTTGACTTCAGGTCCCTGCCACAGCGACCTGGTGAAGGCGTACGCGGCTGCTGGCAGTCCTCTGTTTTGCTCAGTGCCCCGATCTCCTTTTGCTCTGCCATTTAACGCGAGGTGGTAATTCAAACACGGGACGAGGTTTCTGAGCTCTGTTATTGATTGCAGCTCGCTGTTTGCTCTCTGAATTGATGCGGTTACCAGTAATAAGGGGGATATCGGCACTGAGTGGCGTGATCGCCTCCGAGAGGAAAATTAAATTTTCCTTGCCCATTCTTACATTTGTTTATCGTGCTATCTGTACAAGCAGAATACTAAAGGGAGAAAAAGGAAAACAGGCTTAATTTAAAGGTGTCGTAATTTAAAAGTCGTTTCAAAGCGCGCCTTGCTGTTGGTCCGCCCTGTGCCCTCCGGGAGGGTTTCTGGGCGGCTGTTTGCTCTCTGGCATTTCCAGAGAGGCCAAGGACTGACAGATCAACTTCTCCTTCTTTCAGAATAAGGACAGCGGCGAACATGAGAACAAGCAGTTCAGAGAAGATGATGAAGAGGAGACCGTCAAGCACAAGTAATTATTTATTTATTCCCACTTGTCTCTCTTGTATGTATTGTTCAGGCGTTGCTCTTGTGTTTGCTAATTAGGATCTTTCCTTGGCTTCTAACATGCAATTTATTTAATTTTCTTTTAGTGTGAATTTGATCTCATGGTGTAAATGATCTGAGATGGGGGGAATAAAGATGAAAAACCTGGGGCTGACTTGCAGCGTTTCTGGGGATAGCGGGGGAAGGTGGTGCATCAGAGGTGTCGGGAGCATTTAGGCTGCCTTGCTTTAGGCTCCCTTGAATTCAACAGCCGTTGCTGCATCTCTCTCCCCTGCACGTGTGTCATTTTAAGTGTGGATTTTTTTTTTTTCCCCCCATGAACGAACGCCCGCAGGGTACACGTGGCTGTTTAACTGCGGCCCACCGCTGTTCTCTCTTGTCGCTGGAAAATGTGAACACAAGACTAACCGAGGCAAGGTGTCACTCCTGGCAGGACCAGCTGACTGTGCAGTTGGTTTCCTGCTGGTAAAACCACCGTCAGATCTCCTTTGGAGACAACGGGGGGGTGAAGTTTGGTTTGAAGATGTGGAACGTGACCTTTTCTCATCACTTTACCAGCTAGAAACCTCCTCTGGGGGAGGTGTGTGTCAGAGATGCTGCTGCAGATGAGCACATGTGCTCTGCTGAGAAAGTAGAGCAAAATCCTCGCTGCTGCTTGGGACTAACTCCCGGCATCCCTTCTTGAGAACAGCCTGCCTGGATTTGGGGCTGGGAATGGTTCTGGAGAACCATCACCGAGGCTGAAATTTCTTTTTAGGCGCCGTGGTTGGGTTTCGTGCTGGAAGAGGCACGAGGTCTGGGCTGAAGCTGAAACAGGAGCTAGAGATCTTGGAAATGATGATGAATAATGAATAAACAGCTCTTGCTTTCCAGCCCTGCCACTCGATACGCTGCGTGGCGAGGTGATGCAGCATGCGGTGGCCCATTGATGAGGAGCATCAGGCCTGGGCTGTCTTTAATTGCGCAATGAGCTGGCATCGTTGGGCTAGTAGTGATGCACTCCTGCTCCCAAGCTGGAATTCTGAATTGTCCACTAAATCTCTGAAAAACATCTCTTTTTCTACTCTGACTGACTTTTAGGCTGGGGATTGCTTCTTTTTAACTGCTGCTGAGCAGCCTGGAGCGTATCGGCGGTGATGCGGTTTCATACCAAGTCTTTGGCGTCACTACTCTCAACTTGGCAAATCACTTTTTCCACGAGTGCTTGTTCGTGAGCTGTCGTCTTGTGGCAGGTTCGACAAAAAGCCTTCCCCTGCCTGCGGGTGATGCCCTTGAAACTTCACCAAGGTTATATGTAGAGAGCAAAGGTGTTGAGTAGGAACTCCCGTCTCCAGCCAGCTCTGTAGCGATGCATGAAACTCCCTGCAGATGTGGGCGCAGGGCTTCTCCTGAAATACGTGGGAGCGATGCCTTTGGGGAGGCAGTTTTTGGGGCAATAAGTTTGCTTTCCAGATCGATTTTCCTGCAGGATTCTGTAGCTCTTTGTCCGTCTATCCAACCACGGCATGTTTTGTCAGGATCCAAACGTTAACTTTGCAAGGCAAATTAGAGCAAGATCTGCTCTGCAGGAAATGTTTGAATCGCAAATTTGACTGAGATGATTCTTAGCTTTTGCTTTACCTGTTGAATGTCCTTTTTCTGTTGCTGGAATTGGACATGCCTTTTTAACAAGATCTAGAAGGCCAGCGAGCCAATAATTTGATTTTGTCTTAGATTTTTATTTCCCAATAGTGTAGCTGAACTTTCTCAGCCCTTTGAAAACGGGAATTGTTGTGCACTAATGCCATCTTGGCTGGTGGCAAAATCCGCTGGTGTTTACCCTGAATTTGGGAAACGAGAGTTCCTCGTAACTGAAGTCTGCCTTCCCTGCGAACCGCTCCCTCGCCCCAAACGAACATCTTAATAGCTGTGCTGCTTTCTCAAGCTGAAAACCACCAAGAGCACGACGTGGGGAGGGGAAATCTAGTGCTTCAATAAATAATCCTGTGGCCTGTATGCAGGTTTTAGGTGCATTGACCGCCCCGAAAACCGGGCAGCACCCTGGGCTTTCGCTGCAGGCTGGTCCCTCCTCCATCCCTGCAGCTGCACCTTCTGCGCCAGCCCACACCCGAGACCATCCTTTATACCCTACAGGAAGGACAGAACCGCCCGGCGCTGGCTTTACTAATATTTTCTCGCTGCCTATGTGATGACACGCTTTTTGGCAGCTTCCTGTTTTTTCCCGAAAACCGGGCAGCACCCTGGGCTTTCGCTGCAGGCTGGTCCCTCCTCCATCCCTGCAGCTGCACCTTCTGCGCCAGCCCACACCCGAGACCATCCTTTATACCCTACAGGAAGGACAGAACCGCCCGGCGCTGGCTTTACTAATATTTTCTCGCTGCCTATGTGATGACACGCTTTTTGGCAGCTTCCTGTTTTTTTTTTCTGGTCGACTCAAACCTCCCCACCCCCCCTTGTTTTTTTTTTTTTTTTTTTTTTTTTTTTTTTTCACGCTGCAAGCTACCACCGCAGGAACAAGCGCTGACGAAGCCCTCCGCGAAAACCCTGATACACTCGCAGCAATTTCAGCTCAGGCTATCTCTGATCTGAGCTCTCAGGGGAGTTTATATCTGTAATTGCAAAGAGCTTGGGGTTTTTTTCTTGTTTTTGTTTTTTTTTTTAAACCAGTTATGCTTAGTCCACTGACCAGGAAACACCTCCTGCCACGGCACGGCCTGCGATCTGCCTTTGCGAGGAACAGGGTGTGGGTGGACTTTGGCCCTTCCGCTTGGTTCCCATGGGGAAAAGCAGTCGGTTTGGGGCTCGGGGTCCTGCAGGGAGAGCACCGCGAAAAGCCACGGCTGGCTGGAGGCCGGCATCGCCACCCCACAGGGAGCAGAGAGGCGTTGAGCTTTGAAGTTGGGCTGCAGTTCTGCAAGCGGAGCTCGTCAGGGATGTTAAAAGTGTAAATAAAAATCCAAGGTAGGGCTTGGAGAGGGAGGGGGGGGGGAAAAAAAGTCTTCAACTGAACTAGAAATTAAGCTTCAGTGAGCTGCTGTTAATCAGCTGCTGCTGTTTCGACACTTAGTCATCCTTTCAAATGACAGCTCCGTGCTGTGCTGCTTGCAGAGATGAATTTCTGGGAGGAGCTGGGGGAGGCAAGGGTTGGGAAACGCGATCTCTCCCCTTGTCGTGGAAAGAATGTCACGGGGCAGGTCAAAACTGCTTTTTTTTTTTTTTTTTTTTTAATTTCTCCACAAAAAAATACAGCAGCGAGTCTGCTCAGTGTTGGCTTTAGCTTGGCAGAACAGCCAAGGCAGCAGCAAGGATAACTGCTGTGCGGATGTGCTTCCTTACATCCTGGAGCGTGGAGACCTTAATGAAGAGTTTAAAAAAACCAAATAAAACGAGTGAAAAAAATGATAATCACATATGGGAGAGAGCACTATTTATGCGTAGGCTGAGCTGAGTACACGTGGCGTGTTTGATCGACATCTGCGTGGACAGCTGAAGCTGTTACCACTGGTGGCTTGTCCTGATGGGCACTGTGCAATGGGTCAGGCTCCATCACCACCCCACATCTCCAGGGACCAAGCGCAGGTCCCCTCCGATGGGGAATTGCTTGGTCCATGGCAGGAGGAGGTGGGCAGGGGCAAGGCTGTAGCATCGCATCTTTTGCTGGGCGCTAGAAGGGGGAGAACAGGAATTTAGATGGGTGAATCCACCTGGCTGGTAACCATCGGGGTGCTGGGTGAGGAGATTTAGGAGCTGGCAGGATCTACGCTCCCTCCGGAAGATGCTTGTACCCATTTTGATGCGGTGCAGAGCCCTTCTCCTCTCCAGAGCTGTGAGGATGCTGTGGACCTTCCCTCCGGTTAGAGCTGTGCCTCTCTCACTCTGGAGGAGATAGCTGGGAGATGATCTGCTTTTGCAGGGAAGGCCCCATGAAGCTTCAGCTGGTCCGAAGCCTGGCTGCACCCTCCTGACAGAGGCTGTTGATGTGTTCAACGGGTGCCTGATGATCCTGGCTTTGCCTTGGACGGGCTGGGTGTCCCTCTGCCCATCCCCCAGCAGCAGGGTGCGAGGGTGAGCAGCCAAAGGTGAACCCTTGGTCCTTCCTACCCAACCCCTGGCTGTGAGTTCCCAGCATCTTCCCAGCAGTTCACTCTTTTTCGGTAGTCATTGTTGGGAACGCATCCCTGCTGTAACCAAACCACAGCGTTTTGGGTGTCGATTTTTGGATGCTTAGACCTCCATCTGCCTGTGGGAGAGCTCTTGGTGTGGTGTGGGGGCAAGGCTGTACGTAACCCTGAGCTTACCTGGAGCATCTTTTTGCTCACAGACCTCGTGCTGGCTCTGTGCTGAGACGGTGGATCTGAATGTGGTTATTGAAGTGTAGAGCTGCAGCGAAGTTGTGCGTGGTGCTGTTTTGAGGCCAGCTAGGTGGATTTCAAGGACCTGTGGTCATTCAGGTGCTACCGAGGTACCTTCAAGGCCTCTTCTTGGCTTGAGCCTCAAGGGTGGCAGATCGTTTCTGAGCCACCGTCAGCCGAAGAACCTGGAGAAATCCCATTAAGAGCATGGGGAAAGCATGCTATTGTGCCAGCGTGCGGAGGAGCGTAGCCGGGTTCTGCGGACAGGGTCAGGGTTTGCACATCAGCCAGCTCCTGGTGCTGCATCACCAGCCTGGGTCCTGCGCTGCGGATCGAGTGTGGGTTTTGTCCCGGTTGTATTTACTGATGTTGAAGTTGCTTGTGTCTCCTGGAAAGCGCTCAGCTGCCTGGTAAAGCAGCGTGGGAGGCCAGACAACCTCGTGGCACCTGCCCGCGTTTGAAGAGCTTCTCTTGCAGCCCTCCTCCTGCAACCCAGGGATATGTCTCTCCCCATCCGTCCTCTCCCAAGAAGCACGTCCTGAGAAACCAGCTGCCTCGGCAAGTTTTGGGGGCTTGTGATGGTAATAGAAGCATTTGTTTTTTTGGCATTCCT